CATGTTTCCAATAAAAACATGCAACAGATTGTTCCAGAACCAGTGTCAAACGCAGGTAAAAATAAATCCCCTCATAATTTAAATGCGTAGTGTATATTCTAAATATATCACCCAGAAATATATATCTCGTAAGGAAAACTACCTAAAATACTATCTCCCCTGTAATCTCCCCGGGGTCTCGTGCAAAATCAGGGTTTTGAGTTATGATTCCTAAAAGTTAAAATAATCCTTCCTCACTTGTAAGCCACCTGACCCTATTTGTTTTACTGTTTTTATTGCAACGCTGAACCAGCTTTGTTTCGTTGAAGCGCAGGATTTGTAAATAACTAATTATAGCCCTGTTTTTTCCCCTTGAAGCATTAACATTTGGCACCTCAGCGAACAGCCCCTCTTCAACTACCAGACAGTTCAGGGGAGGCGGTGGACTCGGTCTCAGAACAGTAGGGTACTGCTGACAAGCTCTCTTGGACCACTTCACCTCCTGCTCTCGAAATGGCAATCAGATGAGCCAGAGGGCAACTTTAGGAAAATATTTTTCTCTAGTAGCAGTAACATCTGCCTCCTTGGCAGCCTCCGCTGGCAGTTGTGTTGGAAGCTGTGGGTTTGCCCCTGGCCCTGCCGCGTATTTACATTGCTGAGAGGTTATCCTGAGCGCTGCTGGATCCTGTTACCTGATTTTCTTTTGTTCTCTCATTTTCCCCCTCTGATGCTTTGGCTGCTTAACTCTTTATGGGTAACATGTAAAGCAAAAAATAGTGTGCGGTATGAGATGAAACGTATTAATTTGTAAGTATTAATTGGCAAATTCCTTTTTGATTAGAGATTCAGCAGATCTGATCTGTTTAGCTGTGTTTATTTTGCTTCAGCCTAGGCAATTTCACCGTCGCTATCTGAGCTTTTGGAGGTGTCGCTCTCCACATTTGTGTCTTCTGCTCTGCATCAAATTCTCTCTTTGGTGCTCTTATTTCTCCTGCATTTTACTCTCGTCTTCCGAGTAACTGATTTTTGACTACTGCTTCATTTCAGTGGCATGATGTTATCATAAAGACAATTATAAAGTAATCAGCACGGGCATATCAATATTTATTGAAATACTGAAAAAAAAAATAATTCCATTGGCGATGAGAAACTCCTGGCAAGAACTGACATGACAATATGTATTTCACCGATACAGTAAGAGAACTTCAACTTCAACAAGTAACTCACTGCACATTCTAAGAGTTGCATGGATTTAAATCCAAGGCAGCTGCAGAACATCTGTAATACAAATAGTCAGACTTTACAGATTGTCTGTTTACAAACACAGAACAACTATAATAAACCAGCCAAAGCCAAACCCTTTGAATTTTAGTCTGCTTTTACTAATATGTCCTGTAATCAATAAGGCAGTCAGAAGTAAATGTCTGGTTACAAAGTAGTTAACAATTAACGTTGCGAGGGGAGAGGGGTGATTGTTTTTGTTTTTTTTCTGTTCACATACTTTGGGCAATCTGGTGGGATTCTTGGAACCACAGATGTGGGCAAATATATGTTAGTTTATCTGAAATTGTTTCCATTAAACTCTATGAAAAATTCTTTTCTTCTACGACCTTATTTGATTCTTTTGTCCTGTATATAGATAATGGTGCTGTGAATACAGTTAGCAACACTTTTTTTAAAGCTTTTTCCTTTAATATTCAGTGAGATTCACTGAAGCTTTTCGACAGGAAAAAAGTAAAGGGAAAATACATAATGCAAACACTTGAAATATGCTTTGTTTTTCTTTTAAGAAGGAAGGAATGACCATACTTATCTTGTACGTGCAGGTATATGTATTTCACAGCCACCGTCAATTGCCACCTGCATCTCACTTTCTGTTAATTTAGTTTGCTTGAGGGCGAACACTGTGATTTAAATAATGCTTGTGTGTCTGCAGCGTGGGCTGACTAAGGGAGCTGTGCTTTGTTTGCTTTTGGTCCGTACGACGGTACGTGTGTTCTGTGATATAAGACAGGCATCTAGGAGTCACAGACACTAGGCTTTGCTGTGTTTGTACCCTATGCATGGACAGAATATTAGAGCTGATTAATAGAGCGATTAAAATAGTGTGCTTTGTACTAATGCAGATGTAATAACTGATGTCTTTGGTATACAATGCATGAATGGTTGGAAAAAAAAAGAGAAATGCACCTTTTCAAGTTCACATGAAACGGAAAAAGCTATAACTCACATAATTTACAATAGATTTAAATAAACTACATTTAGGATTATGAAGATTTACAGACATTTAGTCAAGTGAATGATTTTAATTTGTAAAGACCCTTGTGTGTCCCTGAACTATGTTCCACTAACTTGAAGACATGCTACAGTAAACACATATATTTGGCTTCTTCATTCTGGCTATATCTTATATAAAGATGAAACCAAAGAACAATAAATTAGCATCATAATTGTCTACAGTGGAAACTATCATATACAATATAAATAAACTATTCAAAAGCCAGCAATCTTCATGAAAAAAATTAAAGGATTAGGATTTTATACAGTTTCTACAAGTGATTGTGCAGCCGATAATCTCAAAAAATTAAAGTCAAAATGAAATACCCCTATTGATTTTAGTGTCTCACGACATACAGTAATTAAGTACTGGTAAAATAATTACCAATTTAAAAGAAATAATAAGGAAATCACTGCTCTGCATTTTTATCACAGTTTTTTCCCCACAGGACCTAAAGAATGTAAACACTATGTTTTCGTTAATGTTAGAGATTAATACTTTATTTTAAATGTATGTTGATCCACACCTGCACAGTTACCTTTAAGGATAATGAAATAAGGCAAGACTTATAGCTGTGGCACTACATGTTAATACTGATATCTTCATTTGGACAGAGAGAGAATTGTTTGTTCTTCTCTAATATTTGTTCTGCAGCAGACTTTGGCCTACACAGACGTAGCAGTATCACTCTTCTTTCTTTGCGTAAAAGATGTGCATTACCTAACTTTAAAAAGAAAAAGTTTCATTAGATATTGGATGTTTGAGTTGAAATTCAGTTTCTTAATTATTGGCAGTTTTAAAGATCATTTCTTAATAAGTTCCGTGGCATCTTCAGGTCATACAATTCATTTGTCTATTCTTGCATCACTAGATGCTTTTTTTTTTAATTTAATTTTTAGTTTTAGGTTTTTGACATCAGTATTTGGTGTCGTAGAAAATATTTTTGTGTGTGTGTCAAAGAAGCGATTGTTTGTGATGGCTAAAATATCTCCATTTCCTTTATTTGGAAATGGCCGCTAATATACAGCAGAGCCATATTTTAGCCACTGCACTAGTTAAGTATAGAGTTGAATTGGCTGATTTCTCTTGGAATATTTATCTTTGCTATTTAATAGCTGTCCGGTAACAGTGACAGAAGAGGGATACTGCCTGCTAGAGCAACATGAACACGTGACAAAACAAACTTCAGAACATAGTAAGAATGCCAAGCTAACTGGATAACAGACTCTTCGTATTAGCGATTTGCCGGCCTGAGAGACCGACAGCCCAAAACCCACCTCTGAGGATTCGGTGGCGTTACTACATAGCAGGTGGCCTACGCCAGCTCTCTCTCACAGACAGTTGAATGGATGCCACATCATTTATCACAGAAGAAGTAGGTGTTGGGTCCTTGGAAGGATGACAGAAGATGCTATAGATGCAGTTTTGCATCTATTATAACCGTTTTAAAGTCCTGCTATACAGTGAAGGAATTTAGTGCACTCAAATTCCCCACTATCTTAGCTCAATAATACGGATCAGTTTTTTGTTTTGTTTTGTTTTGTTTTCTCCTAAGTTTCTTCATATTGGCAATCAGCAGAGTTAAATATACAAGAATCATTCTGTCCTTTTTCGTGTTGACATCGGTGATAGTATCCACCTTGGTAAGTTCACTTCACTCCAGTATAAAGTCCTATATAGATTCCTTTGGGGATGTGTAGCATATGATTCACAGTTTGCAATACAAATACCCTGATACATCACTTATTTACTATTAGTATTTGATTATTATACCATTTTGCAAAGTCTTAAAACCACGTTTTAATTAGTGTTGCTTGGAGCAGTTCAGAATATTTTTTTTTTCCTTGAAAGCAGAAGCTCTAATGGGTATAATTTATGCTCTCTTTGCATGCAGCATCTCAATGAGAAGGTTATTACACGGCACATCCCCGTTCAGGTGTTTGTAGTAGAGGTATTCTTCGGCCTGCATACTGATGGCCCGGATTTCTGGTAGTCGCAGGAGAAGCTGCCCAAACTTGTCTGTTTGCTGTGGGTAATTACACATTGTGTAGTCCAGCAGAGCAGCATTCACTTGTTCCTGAACACCTTCCACAAGCTGGAAGTTCTCAAGATTTTTGACATCTGAATGACAATAAAAAAAAAGTAACAATAATTCAGTTGCATTTTAATTCCTGTTTACGAAGGCAGTGTTTCACTAAATGGATGTATTTTTTTTCCTCCTGACAAAAGCATACTCTACAAGCTGCTGAATATTCAGTGAACCCTTTTGCCGGCTTTCCTGGGAAAATCATCACAAAAGAGCTTTAGCGGAGTGTCTTGTTGAAATTCTGCATATACCTCAAATCAATTAGACACCAATGGAGTCTGAGCAAGGTCAGCTCTTTTCATAGCTTACAAAAAGAAAGGTTGAGGATTCCTAAAGTAGAAGACCATAATATATTGCTAGCAAATGAGTCCCAAGAGGAAGCCCTATCTTTAACCTAGTATGTTACACAATTCATATAATTCTGTATTAATTTTTCTGACCCAAGGTGAAATCTGTGTCCAGGGTATGATGTAGTTAATTCTAATAAAAAGTGACAGGGTTCTTGTTTCTGTTTGACATTTTCTAAATGATTCTGAAAGCCTTTGACTTGTCTAGCCTATGTTAATGAACCATCTGGTACACTCCAGTGACTGCCAAAATAATCTTCCCTACTAGAAACTCTCTAAAATATATATTTCACTGACTAATGATCTTTGTAAAATGAAATCATTGTCCTTTGGGTGGAATACCAGATAAGAATGGTGCCCTTTAACCTGAATATGGTTTCTGAAATTCAACACCAACTTTTTTTTTTTTTTTTTTTTGTGTATTGGACAACAGGGGCATTTAAAGGTTCAGTTTGTTCACTCTGCTTCTGTTTGATTATCTTCCGTTCCTATACAGCAAGTTCGAGCTCTGGAAATGCTGGTCAGAGATAAATGCCAGTATATTAACTCCTCATTATCTGCTCTGATGGCATGGTCTTTCGACCTGTCTGGAGAATGCAGATGGGTCGAAAGTTATTCTAAAGCTTGCAAATTAGAGTGCTGCTATAATGCAGAAATAGTGAAGTGATCAAAGTGTTCTTGCTGGGAGAACTTGTTTTGGTTGGTGTTTGATAATGTATAGCATCAGTAGGGTTCTGTAATACAGTTTTTTTAATGCTAAAGTGTGGTGATACTGAGCGTAACTATGCTGCTGATTCAAGTAAAGACAAATCTGCTATTCTATGGATGTTCTTGGATCACAGGAGATGGGGAATTTGGCGGAATTTGGCAGATTTTGGTTCATTGTCAATGCCAGCCTTTGATTGGAGGGGAAATGAGTGTTTTCCTTTGCAAAACAGGAACACACATTGGTCCCACAATCCATCAGCGGCCTGGGAGGCTCTGTAAGTTTGGTCTCACTGCACCTTTTCCTAGAAGTACTTTAAATAGAGCAAATGTTGGTTCCTGCACATAACTGTGTGCTGGAATGTGAGAGAAATGGTTGGAGGAGGAAAGTATTTTCTTCAAGCCAAGAGGATAGGAAGGATGCCAAGGATCCCAATGGCAGCCCAGGGTAGCGCGCGCAGCCTCCAGGGTCTGAGTCACAGGCTTTGAGCAGGAGCCTCTCTGGAGCGTGTTGGCTGCCGGCCGCACTTCAGGTTTGCTCTTGCACAAGCTGGGGTGAGTGTTCCCTGCTGCGGTTGTTCCTGCCTGTCTCTTTCCTCTCCCTGTTTCACTGTGGAAATGAAGCAAGTGCCTCCTGGATTTGTGCTGTTTGTTTGGGAACCCGCGACACAACCTCCATCCGAATTTTGCTAGCCGGCTCAAGAAACTCGCTAGCAATGCTTAAATGATGACGGCTGTCCAACAAGAATCGTCTGAACTTTGCATTATCCAGAGTGAGGAGAAGTGGAAACTTCAAAGCGGCTATGCCTGGTCCCTCAGCTATTCAAACTCATTTACCCAAAGTCTTTTTGCCAATGTCTCTGGAGATCTTTGGATAATCATGTTTTCAGCTATAACACTGGACATTTTCTCACACGAAATATAGCTGTCTATTATTTTACATACCTACATAAAACTCCCAAGGTATTTTTTAGCGAGTGTAACCTGGTTTAAAAATTGGGTGTTCTAAGCGTATTTTTATAAAGTTAAGAAAGGAACAGTATTGCCTATAAAAATTATTTTAAATAGGTTGCTTACTTTCAGATGCAAAATGCAACCATGAACGAATTGTTAGAACATAAGAAATTCCCACAGAAAACAGGGACTGTGCTGGAGATTAAACTGTGTTAACAGCAAGATAAAATGCATAGTGACTTCAGAATCAGTATTTCAAACTTTCTTCCCCTGTTAAAAATAACTTTAAACATCAGGAAGTTTTTAGAAACTCTTAGCTGATTCAATCCCCTTTAAATTCAAAGGGCATCTCTCTGTTGCTCTCTGTCTGTTTTGAATGACACTGTGGATTAAATTGTGCCGTCTTCTTGGAAAAGCAGGTTCATTCTCATTTTTGCTCTCTGTCTAAATGTTACTGCATGTAATATATATTTATTGGCAGCATCACAAAATCAATTTTTACAAAGATCAAGAAGAAACAATATCTGAGAATTGCGATTTTTCTGTGTTTTCCTGCAAAAGGGGTGAATTCAACACATGTTTTATAGAGATGCCTTCTGTCTTCAGCTGTATTGATATCATATTCCAAATCAAAAGGGGGCATAGTATATTATCTATATTACCCTCATATGCAGGATGAGTGGCTTCTGGCAGTAGGTGTACCTGTGCGTTGTACAGGTGTTCCTATACGCTCGTCAGCTACGTGGCCTGGCTGAGTTGCATAGAATTTGCAGAACTGTGGGGGAAGAAGGTCTGTGGCTTTTGTTTTTCATTTTTTTCCCCTCATCTCAGCGGACAGTTCTTTAAATACTCCTATGTGGCAACATAAGCACTGAAGTCAGATGTAAAAACGAGTCCAGTTAACACTAACAGTAAACAAAAAGTAGTTCTGGGGCTTCTATACCACATCCAGCCTGAGGAAATACTTTTAATGTATTTCCTCTACACAAATTCTTGATACTTGTGGTGAGGCTCAGTGCTTGTAAACAAGATTTTACGAGTTAACCAGTGAAAATACGTAGAATTTTCTTGACTCTTTCTATACTGAATCAGATACTCATAGTCCAAATGATTACAGTTTAGGGCATGACTACACAACTCATGTAGATGTCTCCAGAACTCAGGTCATAATAGTGGGGATATAGAGGCAACCTGATGACCAGTTATGTATTTTGGAGTGAGTCTTCATGAAGTAACCAAGATTTTTGGATATGACTTTTGACAAGTGCTCTCATCTCATGTACATTAACAGTAAATGCTGCGGTAAAGCAAATGAGACAAACTGAAGAGAGAGAGAAAAGTCAAAGGGTCTGTGTTGAGAGCACTGTGTAAAGCTCTACTGTCATGTCTCAAGCTCTTGTATGATATTTTGTATATTGTTAAAAAAGAGGTTTGCCAAATGCAGAGTTGCAATATATATTATTTAGTTATTTTTGAGAGAGAGTCACAAACTCTGGCTCTAATAAAGGTGAATAACAAAGGAAAACATATAAATATTAAGTTATTTCCAGTAGCTCCAAGTTCTGCAGGTAGAACAAGAAATGCTATAGAGTTTTTCACTTCTTGCACTTAGTATTTAGCTGATAGTGATACAAATGTTATTAAATAATAACTTTGGTTTGTAAGTAGCTGGTTTTCCTGTGCTCTGGGTTTGTTTTTGTTCTTGGCATTTATTAGATAACTCTGGCTAAAGGTACGTGATTTAGTTTTCCAAGTGTTTCCTTTTTGATAAAGGTCCTTTGAATGCTAATGAGTTAACTTGGTGCAACACCAAGCAACGCTGGCCTAAGTCTGCTGACGGCAGCGGCGTACAGTGAGCACGAAATCTGCTACTCGGGTACGGCACACCAGTCTTTTACGCTTTCATGGAATTCTTCATTCCTGTCTGCTTTTTAGGATTGGAATGTCTCTTATCAATCTTTACATCAGTTAGTAACAATTTAAAGTACACATGTTTAAGCTTAATGCAAGAAATCATTTTCCGAGGTTTAGACGCTTGTAAATTAAATGAGTAGGAATAGGGCCCCCCTCCCACCCACCCACACACCCTTTAAATCCTAGCAGCTAGAAAAAGTGTTTTGTGTTGCTACAGTAAGTATCAGTCTCTTATCTCTTCTACTTTATTCACTCAGGGACTAATTACCAACTTTTTACATGAAACAGCCTTACTGTGAGCTCACAGTGGGGCGCACATCTTTTTCTATCCTTATTGGAAAGTAAACCCTTAGGTCTTCTGGAATATATTATATGTTTTACAAGAAATAGCAATTGCTTTTCTGTCAAACAAAGAATTTTTGTTCTCTATAGCTTACTTTTGACGATTAAGACAAAACAGTATTATAGTGTGTCAGGATCTGCTCTGCAGTCACAGTAAAGATCTGCCTGTATTCCCAGAAATCCCCCCATTTTGATTATTTTCTATATCTGCTATAAAGCTGTGCATTGAGCTGAAGCTGCATACAACATTCAGCCCGAGGAGAACACTTTTGCATATTTTCCCAAAAAATGGGTCTGGTCTTTAGAGGGGGAAAATATTTAGGTTTCAGAGAGATTTTCTCCCTCTCATATTCCAAACATGAAATACTGAAGATTTGGTGGTCTACAAGTCTGTAGAGAGCTTCCCTTGGTCTGGGAATTTTGAAAAGAAAAATGAAAGAGAATGAGAGATTTAAATTTGAAAAATAGTAACTCCTTAGGAGAAGCGTAAATATTGCCCAGTTACATTTTACTGCTCGTGTCTTTTATCAGATACTCTTCCCACATGAAGCGATGAAGAGGCGCGTGCACAGGCAGCTCCACTGCCTCTCTGTATTTTGCACCATTGCAAGTCCTGGTGCTGTGAAGACGAAATAAGGTTGTGTTTCGGCTTCTCCATGGGGAGAAATTTCTCGCTTTCACAAGGCTGGAAATGGTCTTACAGGTATTCCAGGCAATAGGACCCAAAACTTAGCAGCTCTTTGGAACGACTTTCAAATGCGTAAGTAAAATCT